GCTCTTTTCTGGTCTTTCCTGGCTGGCTCAAAGTTAACCTCCTCGGAGGGGCCTTTCTTGACTATGTGTCCAAACCAGCTGCCCACTCCTTTGTCTTCGCGGCATCTAGTATTTGAAATGACGTCATTTATTTGCTCCTAGGTTGTTAGCTGTCCCCAGCCTCTCTGCACCTGTAAGTCAGGGACCATGCATTCCTTACTCACTACTCTTCCCCAACAGCAAGAGCAATGCCTAGGGCATCCATTGCCTAGAAGCCTAGTAAAGGTCCAGTTAACGGATGGATTCCTGTTTGACGGTAACTGACAGGAATTGGGTCCAGTTGCCAGTGCCCTCCAGTTTGCCAGAGTCCCCACTACTCTCCTCTCCCTCACTCTAAGGATGTCAGTCGTCTTTAATCATCTACCTTGCTCTATTGCTTTCCTTATGGGAGGAAAAGTTAGGGTTTTGTTTGTTTGTTTTGGCAGTACTGGGGTTTGAACTCAGGGCTTTATGATTGCTAGGCAGGGGCTCTACTGCTTGGGCCACTCCACCAGCCCTTTTTTATGATAGTTTTTCCAAGATAGAGTCTTTCCAACTATTTGTCCGGGGCTGACTTAGAACTACAGTCTTCCTAATCTCTGCCTCCTGAGTAGATAGGACTACAGGCGTGAGCTACCAGTGCCCAGCAGGAAAAGATTTTCTTTCTGACCATATCCTTATCAAAAGGCCAGAAATACAGACCCCGTCGGATGCCTAGTCTGACGTCTGCAGACTGGTGGCCACCCAACTCCTCACAGTTATGCTGATGAAAACCAGATCCAAAGAAGTCCAGCCAGACCTCTCCTCTGCTTCAGGCCTGTCTCCCACCTGACTCCTGCATGCTCCCCATAAGTCTTACAGTCACATGGTTCAACTCCCCAAACTCCAGTACGCCAAAGTCCTCTGCGAAACTGTCCCTCCTCCCGTGTTCCCATTCTACTATGACTTCAGTCCCCCAAGTCTCTAGCTCAGAGCCCAGAGGATGCAGTATCACCTGAGTTCCTGTCAGGAGCCTGAGGGGATTCGGGAGCCAGAGGTGGAACTGGGTACATGCAGAGCAGCACGAGCGTGGTTAGGGGAAGAACAAGGGTCCGTGGGAATCCAGAGGGCACCAATAGACAAAGAAGTCTCACTAGAGGAGGAAGCATTGAAGCTGAGACCTGAGGTTTGATAAGAGCCAGGCAAGGAGGGAGAGGAAGATTCCCCCAGCAGAATGTGTGAAAAGGCTAAGATGTGTGAGCCAAAGAGGTTGAACTTGGGTGCCGTGTGCTGCGTGTGTGTGTGTGTGTGTGTGTGTGTGTGTGTGTGTGTGTATGTACATTTTAGGGGGTGGTAGGTGGTAATGAAGGATAAATACCAGCAGGTATTGTTGGGTATGGTAGTATATATCTGTAATCCCAGCTACTAAGGCAGCAGAGATAGTAGGCTCCTGGTCCAAGGCCAGTCCAGGCAAAAGCAAGAGATCCTATCTGAAAAACAAACTATAGAGTGCCTGCCTAGCAAGCATGAGGCCCTGAGTTCAAATCCCACCCCCCCACACAGAATGCAGAAAGGAATGGGGATGTGACTTGAGTGGTAGAGGCCCTGAATTCAAACCCCAGTTCAAATTCCCTCCCCAAATATCCCAGCAGATAGGTAGGTATATAGGGACTTAGAAACACACTGAAGAGACGGCTTGCCTCGGAAGGTAGTAGGAAGTTCTTAGCTTCTTCCTCTCCCCCATTTTTTAAAAGGCACAGTCATGCACACATAATGACGTTTTGGTCAATGTCAGACTGCCTATAGGTGGTCGCATAAGATTACGATGGAGCTGAAAACTTCCTACCATCTGGTGACACTGTAGCCATCGCAAGGCCTCAGCCCAGTGCATGCTCACTTGTACACGGTGGCACTAGTGGAAACAAACCCACTGAGTGTGTTGCCAGTCCTAGAAAAGTACAGCACATTCAATTGCACACAGTACATGACTAGATTTTGGTAAGAAGCAACTATGTTACTGGTTTATGTATTCGCCACAGGACACTTTTAGTGTTATTTTAGAGTGGACTGGCACTTATTTAAAAAGTTCACTATGAACCACATTCAGCATCTCCTGTTTACTGTGCTGTCCCTGACTGCATCAAGAGGCTGCCCATCCCACCTAGGTGAGAGATGTTCCTACTGACAAAAGCGTCAGCAGTCCATTCTCAGCACACATCCCTCTTATTAACCCAAGTCAGCATGGACAAAGAAGCCTGTCCTGCCCTCAGATCCCCAGTCTCACTTTTTTTTTTTTTTGATACTAGGGTTTGAACTCAGGGCCTCATGCTTGCTAGGCAGATAGTCTACCACTTGAACCAACCTCCAGCCCTTTTTACTTTAGTTATTTTTCACATAGGGTCTCCTGTTTTCTGCCTAGGGTCCCAAACTGAAGTCCTCCTACCTATGCCTCCACAGTAGCTGGCATTACAGGCATGAGCCACCTCACCCATTCCCAAGTCTTACTTTTTTTATTAGCATACATTAATAGTACAAAAATCTTGCTTTTGAGAGGCAGTCACCACGGAGTTTCTTGGGATTCCATCCAGGAATTTTCTCCCTATAAATAAACCCATAAATGTGTGTGTGATCTTTTCCTTAGGTACATGTAGGGTATTAGCTGCTCTGCTGCCTCTAGGTGTCTTTTTCCATGAAGTTTATCTAAGACATCTTTCCTCATCACTGTACATTCTGGTAGCTGTGAGGCGGTCCGTGTGGGTGTCTTGCATATCATGGACCTGGCTTCCTGGTTTTCTTCTGATCACCAGCCATGCTATCCTCCACCTTGATGCACCATTAGTCTGGCTCAAATGCTGTATGCATGTCAACTTAGATAGAAATTGACAAATGTCCTTCCAAAAAGATTATACCAATTTCATTTCCCAACGAGAACAAGGAGAGTTTGGGGCTAGTAGTAACATGGTTGGGTCTACATTTTAGAGAGATCATTTATTCATTCACATAACTAATATTTGACAGGGATTCATTTACTCTGTGCATGCTGGTCATTGTTTTAGATTATGCGATTTATCACCGAGCACAAAAAAAACCCCACCCTCCTAAAGTTGCCATTTGTGTGTGTGTGTGTGTGTGTGTGTGTGTGTGTGTGTGTGTGTCTGTCTGTCTGTTTTGAGACAGGGTCTTTTGATGTACCCTAGGCTGACCTCAAGCTCCTCCTCTACCTCCCAAGTGCTGAAATTACAGGTGTGCACCACCATGCTCAGCCTTGGTTTTAATCTCTCTGGCAACTGTCTGGAGGATAACTGGATGGGGTGAGGGAAAAAGCAAGGCTAATCCAGGTGAGAGATGTGGGGGGTTAGCCCAGGGTAGTGGTCAGATTCTGAATGTATTTGGAAGGTAGATTCATTACACTTCGGTGATGGGGGCCATGGAGTCAAAAGTCAAGTTTTCTGTGGAAACTCTGGTGTGAGCATGAGGACACTGGTTTGGGGGAAATCAGGAGCTCTGCTCACTCTTGCTGCTGAGTGTGTAATGGAAGAGTTGCTCAGAGGTCCAGCTGCCTACTGGACCCTCTTCCAGAAGCTCCCCAGGCACCACAAATATGGCTCATTCAGAAGAGAACTCCCCCTTTCCAAGCTTTCCCACCCAGCGCAGCAACCCCCACCCTAGCCAGCACCCAGCAGGCCGCCCTCACCATCACCCACGACAGTCAGTTGCTTCCTATCAGTTTTGTGTCACCTTTCATCCCCAGGACCTTGGCTGTGCCCCCTCTCACCAAGACTGTTGTTCGTGATCACAGCCTGTTGCAGAGAAGGGGCTTTGTGAATGGATGAAGGATCGCTTGGAATGACAGTTTGCGTGAATGGCTGCGCCTCCTTGAAGGGCCTAGCCAGCCCCAGAGCCATCTCTGAAAACACATATGTGGTGACTATGTCCTTGCCTTGACAGTTCCCTGGGGCCTACACAGACATAAACTGGTGGCCTACAGACATGTTTTCTTTGGCCCACATAATGTTTGGGGTTTTTATTTAAATCTTGAATTAATTAGCATATTTTAAATTAAAGTCTGGATCTCCCACTTCTCCTAAGAAACTAGAAGAGTGGGAACTACCAGGTTTCATTTCTCCAGGGCAGCCCTTGCCTGGTGGAGTAGTGGCTCCCTCTAGACAGGGCACTCACTGTCAAAGCCCCCACCACTCCCTCTGTGATCTACCATCCTGCTTCTCTAACTTAACTAACCTGCCTGCCATGAGATTTGCAGCCCCTGCTGAAATGACAAACACATAATTTCTGGGTAGCAAGATGCATGAGTAGGACTGGCAAAGATGGGGCGACCATAGGTGAAGGTCAGGCTGTGGTCAAGTTGTGACAAGCCTTGAATGTCTTTTTTTTTTTGGTGATACTGGGGTTTGAACTCAGGGCTTCATGCTTGCAAGGTAAGCGCTCTTCTACTTGAGCCACTCTGTCAGCCCTTGAATGTCATTTTAAGAAATGCTCTCCAAGCCAGACACTTGTGGCTCATGCCTGTAATCCTAGCTACTCGGGAGGCAGAGATCAGGTGGAATGTGGTTCAAGGTCAGCCCGGGCAAATTGTTCACAAGACCCTATCTTGAAAATATCCAACACAAAAACAGGGCTGGAGGAGTGGCTCAAGTGGTAGGGCACTAGCAAACATGAAGGTCTTGAATTAAACCCCAGTACTGCCAAAAGCAAAACAGGAAGGAAGGAAGGAAGGAAGGGCCCTCTATAGACAGTCATTGGTGCAGGGAAGCAGGACAGTGATATGGTTGGATTTGTGTTTTTAGCCTAGGCCCTCTGGACAAGAGGAGACCAGATAGGGACAGAGAACCCAGTGAGGAGCCTGGGCTGCGAGGAAGAAGAGGAGGCCAGGATGGAGGCTGCTCCCGCATGCTTCTCTCCTAAGTTTGAATCTACTGTCTCTCTGTTTCAGAGCCACACAGCCGCCTTGGGTTCAAGCGTGGCCATGAGGGTTGACAAATACTGCTGAAGACCTAGCCTGGATCCACCTGCTCCAGAAGGACTCCAGCCCCTCAGGACCCCTCTGCTGCCCACAGGATGGGAGCCTGGGCACTAGGGGCCCGGCCATGAGGGACTGCTGCCCCTTCCAGCAAAAGGCCAGCCCTGCCCCACCCAAGCACAACCTTGACCAAAGCCCAGCCATGGACACTAGACACAGCGGTCCCAGTGGGTCTGGGGAAGGGGCCTCCTGTTCTGAGGGCCCTGCTGGAAGCATGGCCTGCTCCTCTCCCACTTGCACCCCTCCCCTAGGGACAGCCACCAAGGAGACACATGGAACCTCGATCTCAGGGACCCCAGAATCCACCTTGTCTGGGAAATCAGAGCCTGTGTCCTCAGTGAAAATTGCTCCCACATCCTTACAGAACAGAAACCCCACACACTTGAAGATGGATTCCATGCCCTCCATGCAGGCAGGTTCCATAGGAAAGGAAGAGGCTGGATCCTTGATGAAAGCAGGTCCCCTGTTGACAGAAAAGACGGAGCCCACGACTTCCAGCCAAGGGGATCCTGGGGCTTCTGGAAGGATGAGTCCCATGATTCCAAGAAAGGAAGAGCCTAGATCCTTGGGAAAAGCAGACCTGGTGTGCACCAGCAAGGTGGACCCAGTGTCCCCAAGGAACGAGGGCCCTGGGTCTTTGGGAAAGGTGGATCCTGTGTCCTCGGGCAAAGTGGATGTGTCCTCCGAGAAAGTGGGCTCTGCATCCACAGTAAAGGCAGAGTTCGTGTCCTCAGGAGAGAAAGAGCCTGGGCCCCGAAGAAAGGTGGACCCTGTGTCCTTGAAAGACTCAGATTCTGCATCCACAGACAAGACAGATCCGGGGCTCTTAGGGAAACTGTCTCCAGGGTTGTCAGGCAAGATGAAGCCTGTACCCTCTGGAACAGGGCCTTCTGGGCCCTCTGAAAGGGTAGACCCTACATGCGTGAGGTCGGCAGATCCTGTATCTAGGGGAAATGCAGAAATTGTGTCTTCTGCAACAGAAGACCCTCTGTTCCTGGGAAAGGTGGGCCCTGCCTCCTCAGGAGAGGGGGGTACCGTGTCCATGAGAATAACAGGAATGGTATCTGCTACACAGGTGGATGGCGGATCGGGAAAAACAGAGTCCATATCTGTGAAAAGTGAAGGTCCTGCGCCTACTAGCAAGGTGGACACTGTTTCCTTGGGAAAGGTGGATCCTGTGTCTTCAGGAGAGCCAGGGCCAGTGTCTCCTGGGTGGGCAGAACAAGTATTCATGGGAACGACAGAAACGGAGTCCTCAGGAAAAGAGGACCCAGTATTCCCTAGAAGGGCGGACCCCGCAACCACCTCAGCAAGCATGAAAGCGTCACCCTCTGGAAAAGTGGATCTTGAGACATCAGGAAAGGCAGACCCTGTATCCTCAGGCCCAGTGGGTCGCTGGTCCCTGGGGACAGGGGGTGCCCAATCTGCAGAAGCTAAGGCAGTGACTGGGGGAAAAAGAGAGCCGCAGTCCTTGGAGAAGGCGGATTCCCTCGCCTCAGATAAGGTGGACCCCATGAGCAGGGGAAAGACAGAAACTGCCCCCTCCGAAGAGGGGGACTCCATGTCTTTAGGAAAGGTGACCCCCGCAGCTTCAGGAAAAACAGTCCTGGTGCCCCTGGGGAAGGTGGATCCTGTGGCCTCGGCAGAAGCCATCCCAAAGGCAAAGGTGGACCCTCTGCCTCCAGAGAAAGGGAAACCTGTGAACACAAAGGTGGCAGGCAGGTCGTTAGGGAAAGAGGAGCGGAGGTCTGAGAACCAGGCAGAAACACAGCTCCCTGGGCAGGAGGTTACTGTATCCTCAGGTCGAGCAGGAGCGCTGTCTTTGCAGAAGGAGCAGCCACGGGCTTCTGAGAAGGTGGATCCCGCATCCTCAGGCAAAGCTGGCTTCACCGCGTGTGGGAAGGTGGAGCCTGGGTCCCTGGGGAAGGCCGACTCTGCATCTCCAAGGAAAGCAGAGTCCCGGTCCCCGGGAAAGGCGGCCCCCCTGACTCCGGAGAAGGCCATGCCCTCCTCTTTCAGGCAATCAGATGGCAAACCCTGCGGCTCAGCCCTGTCTCCCGGCGCTGCGGGGAGCAGCGGAGGTCATGCGGAGCCAGAGCCCGCCCCCAGCCCCGAGGCCTCCAGCCTCGGCCAGAAAGACCTGGCTGCCACTGTGGCCGAGAGAAGCCCCCGCCAGGAGGCCGCCGCGTCCCCACCGGGGCCACGGACTCGCGACAACTTCACCAAGGCGCCATCGTGGGATACAAGCGGTCCCCTGCCGCCGCCGCCGCGCGAGGACGCGGGCACGCAGGCGGGCGCACGGGCCTGCGTCTCGGTGGCCGTGAGCCCCATGTCTCCGCAGGACGGCGCAGGCGGCCCGGCCTTCAGCTTCCAGGCCGCCCCGCGCGCTCCCAGCCCGGCACCGAGACCGCCCTCACGCCGGGACGCGGGCCTGCAGGTGTCGCTGGGCGCCGCCGAGACACGCACGGTGGCCACCGGTCCCATGACGCCACAGGCCGCCGTGCCACCCGCTGCGCCACCTGCTTTCCCCGAAGTGCGGGTGCGACCCGGTTCGGCGCTGGCGGCCGCCCTGGCGCCCCAGGAGGCAGCCGAGCCGGTGCGCGACGTAAAATGGGACGAGAAGGGCATGACGTGGGAGGTGTACGGTGCCGCCATGGAGGTGGAGGTACTGGGCATGGCCATCCAGAAGCATCTGGAGCGACAGATCGAGGAGCATGGGCGCCAAGGGGCGCCCGCACCGCCGCCCGCCGCCCGCTCGGGACCGGGTCGTGCGGGGTCGGTGCGCGCCGCGCCCCCAGATGGCGCAGCCAAGCGCCCGCCCGGCCTCTTCCGCGCGCTGCTGCAGAGCGTGCGCCGGCCGAGGTGCTGCTCGCGGGCGGGACCCTCAGCCGAATGATCTGCCCCATTTTCTACGCCCGGGTTTCCAACCTTCTCAGGCTCCTTTGGTCCCAGACCCTCTAGAAGGGGTCCTCCTCGGCGTGTGACAGACCCCGATGGGTGGGCTTCTTATCTCCTTTCCAGTCCTTCCCCTCCCAAACACACATATAACGACTTCTACCCAGTCCTGTCGCGGCCACGAGCCCTCGAACCCCAGTCCTGACGCCCACGCGTGCCCTCACAGCCCTCAGCCCCACTCCCTTGATCACACTGGGCGAGGGTGATCACCTGTTCGGCACCCCACCCCACCTCCGCCTCCACCCCCCAGAGCTGAGGCAGGCTCCTGAGATGGCCAGACTGGTGCGTTGAGGCTCCAATGGTGCCAGACACCCCCCACCCCAAAGACTGCATGCAAATCTCTAAGTGGTACTCTGCGTGTGCGAGGCTTGGTGCGCAAGACCCCCATGTGTTGGGCCCTGAATGGAGGCTCTGGGCAACTGAGTCTGACAGTGAGTGTGTGAATGGTCTCAACTACCCCAACCCCCTTCCCACCCCACCCCCACCCCCGGGCAGAGGCATCTCTTGCATGCTCTTGGTGGTCCTACCCCAACTTCTGCCTACTACCTGCCCAGTCCCCCAGCCCTCTCTCTTTTCCCACAGGGTCCCTGGCTCACAATTCTCACAGAGGCCAAAAGTTCAGAAGCGCCCTGGGCCTCAGCTGAGAGAGACAGTCACACAAGGTCAGAGGGTCTCAGACAGGACTGCAGGTTACAGTCAGGTCATGGAAGGTCTTGAGCCACTGGCAGACTGGTTGACAACTGGTCTTGGGTAAGGGGGACAGATGGAGAGTTCATTCTACAACCACAGTTGTCTCATAAAGGACCCCCTCTTCAGTCCTGGTTCCCCACCCCCCACCCAGTGCTGTTAGTCCCCATGAGTCCCTTGTAACCAACCACTGGGTGCCCTTGTACCATCCCTCCAGCCTCTGTTTTTGGCTACAAACTGTCACAGTATACATTGGTAATAAAATATTTCCCCAACCCTTGTCTGTTGCCATTGACGGAAAGCAAGAGGGAAAGTGACATTATCTATTATTACATCTGGGGAGGGGAGGGAGAGATACAGCCAGGGTGTGGGGTGCCTCTTCCCAGGCGGGTCAGGAGAGTGGGGACCTCTGTCACAGGTCCGTGGTGTCCAGGCCGGCATTGGTGAACACCTGCTGCTGTCGTCCACTCATGGCCGCCTGCCTTTCTGACAGCACCGCGCTCAGGGGTTCTGAATGCGGCTCTGGTGGACTGTGCTCCAGCTTCTTCTAGGGGGGAGAGGAAGGAAGGTATGATGAGGGGTGATGTCCCCAGGCCCATCACCAGATGGCTCCTTGGCTGGGGTCTTGTCCTAGGCTCCTCTTGGGGCTTAGTCTTTTAGCTGTGTCCCAGAGATGGCCACAACTCAGGTGAAAGGGTGGGACTAGAGGGTCTTTGCTCTACCCACAAACAGAGCAACAATCTGGCATTCCGCCCTGTCCTGGATAATGGCCAGCCCTGCCTCCTGTTCCAAGGAGCCAGTCCATCACAGGTCCTGCCACCTGCACCCCACAGCAGGCACCACGTTGCGCAAGGTCCACCCATTTCCTGTAATACCCTTAGAAATCCCCCGAGGGAAGGGTCTTCTCCTCTATTTTAACGATGTGGAAACTGAGGCTCAAATGACTCCTGGATAGGAGGGGCAGAGCAGGGTTTGGACCACCAATCCTGTGGATATAAAGCTGTCTATGGCATAGCACTGCCCCTGGTTGGATTTGGCATCTTCTGCCACCTCAGAGGGACCTGTCACCCCAGGATCCCACCTGCAGACACTCATACTGTCTCTCCTGCCTGCCCTCTCACCCCTCCCCATGCACCAGCCACACGCTCACACCCCCCTCCTCGCACACACCGCCCTGTGGGAGGACCAGGCCGCCTGGCTTAGTTACTCTGCTGCTGAGACACTCACAGGACCAGAGCCCTGAGCACCCCCGGCCTCCCCAGGACACTCCAGAGTTTATTTTTCCAGACTGGGGTTCTTCCGGCCCCAGGTGAACAGTGGAACATCTGAGGGGGCCCAAGAGCTAAACATTCTGCCCGTGTTCCATGGAGCCCTGACACAGACCCTGAGCACAGAGCAGTTGGCACAGTGCCACCCAAGATAATGTGACCTGGTCCCTGAGCCCTGAGAACTGACTTCTGGTCTGTTCCTGCCCTGCATGTCTGACCTTGAACAAGTCAGCACCCCTCTTTGGACAGATGACTTGCTTGGAAATGTAGGATTGAATGCTCTCTCCGGGTGCTCACAGAGCCCATGGGAAGATCCCGACATGCAGGGATTGGTGGGCTCTACCTGAGTCCCCCACCCAGCCAAGGGAGAGGAGGAGCTCCCAAGAAGACTGCATGGTCTCCAGGTCCCCCAAAGCCCAACCATGCTTCAGGAGATGGATAAAGCCCAGGCAGCCTCTCCCCGCTCCAGACTCCTCTCAGAACTCCCGCCCCTCCCCAGTGCACAGGCCCAGCCCCACCTCAGGGCCCCTGACTCTGCTCTTCTCTGGCCTCCTCCAGGGTCGCAGACTGATAGGCAAGACCATTCTCTTCTTCTTTTTTTTTTGGTACTGGGGTTTGAACTCAGGGCCTACACATTAAGCCACTCCACCAGCCCTTTTTTGTAATGAGTTTTTTCAAGATAGGATCTTGAGAGCTATTTGCCTGGGGCTGGCTTCGAATCTCCATCTTCCTGATCTCTGCCTCCTGAGTAGCTAGGAAGACCATTCTCTTCTGTCTCAGTTCCTTCACTAGAGTTCTTGCCTCAAACCATCTGTAAACTGAGATGAGCCACACCCAAGAGGCTGCCTGGACTGCCACCCATGACCCCCCTCCCTAGAGGTCTCCATGCAGATTCTCTGTCCTGGATACAGCGTGTGCAACATTCTGGTATGGTAAAGACCAAGAGGCTATGGCTGGCCAGGTCTTTCCAAGCAAGGAGTCCTTGCGGAAAATGTGGACTGATGCTTGAGGACAGGCCGGGAGCCCCTTAGGGACAGGACCAGACGAGCTCAGGACCCAAAATGGACTGGATAGGGGTGAAAGAGTGAATACCTCACCTCCCCACAGATGCTCTGACTGTGGTAGCCAAATGGACCTCTCAGAGAACTTCTACTCCAGCTTGAGGACTGGGAGAAGTTCCTTCTGCTTCTAGGGCCTCTTCCCCAGCCTACTGACTATGTCTAGGGGATCCCAGTACTGCCTGGACATTAGAAAACCAGGTGTGGTGGTGCATGCCTGTAATCTCAGCACTGGGGAAGTGGAGGCAGGAGGATGATAAATTGAGACCAACCTGAGCTGCATAGCAAGAACTTGATATAGAACAAAACAAAGTGACAAAAAAACAAGCAGAATACCTTGTGGGAGAATCAGGATCTCTGGGTTGAAGTGCATATTGGTATTGTATTCATTCACTTACTTGTTTTTATTTTATTCTTTGGTGGTACTGGGGCTTGAACCCAGCCTTATGCTTGCCAAGCAAGCACTCTGTCACCTGAGCCACAACCTCAGCCCTTTTTGCTTTAGCTCTTTTTTGAATAGTGTTTCTTATTTATGCCCAAGGCTGGCCTGGACCTCTGTCCCCCTATCTATGATTCCCTTGGGTCTGGGATGACAGGTGCACCACCATGCCCAGCTTTTTATTGGTTGATATGGGTTCTCATGAATTTTTTGCTGGGGCTGACCTCAAGCTGCCATTCTTCTGATCTCTGCTTCCTTTTTTTTTTTTTTTGGTAGGACTGAAGTTTGAGCTCAGGGCTTCATGTTTCACAAAGCAAGTGCTCTACCGCTTGAGCCATATCTCCAACCCCTGATCTCTGCTTCCTCAGTAGCTAGAATTACAGGGATGAGCCACCACGCCCATTTTATGTATTTTTTATTTTTTGTAGTACTGAAGATTGAACTCAAGGCCTCATGCTTGCATTCTACCACCTGAGCCACTCCCCAGTCCTTTTGTTTTTAGTATATTTTCTAGATGGGGTTTTTCCCATAACTTTCCTTCTACCTCACCTCTGGAGTAGCTGTGATGACAGACAGGCACCACCATACCTGGTCCTGCACATTGCACATTGTTGGGTTTTTTTGTGGAGTTCCCCCAGGTAATTTAAGCATCAGGTCAGGCTGTGACCACTTGATCTTGTCTATCCAACTCCCTCCTTTGCCAGACTCCATCCATTCACCTCTATAGAGGCTAGAGAGGCACAGAACCAGACTTCCAAGCCTTTGCTTTGTGCTGGGTGTTTTTTATGCTGTTCTTATTCAATTCTCACGACAGCCCTGCAGGGCTGATATTCCAATCCCCATTTATAGATGAGAAAACTGAGGACTCAGGGTGGCATGATAAATGGAGGAGAAGCAGGGATTGGGAAGCCACGGGGGCTTCCTGGGGTCTAGTGCAGGGAAGTGAGGTTGTACATGTCAGCAGCAGCCCCCTCCAGCTTTTTCCTGAGTCCCACCCTTCAGAGCTTTCTCTGAAGCCTGATCCCAAGTCAGAAGCCCGAGGTATCAACTCATCCCCCATCTCTTACCTCGATTTTCTGACTGTTCTTGTCCAGGTCCACAGAGTTGTCGTCAAGGGAATTGAGGCTGTGGAAGAGGTGATGGTGTTAAGTTGTTGGCAGGCCCAGTCCTCCTAATCTGTGGCCTCTGCCATCACCATCACCACCACCCTCACTATTGTCACCATCATCATCACCATCGTGGCTACCCTCACCATCATCACCATCACCACAACTACCACTACCTTACCACCACCATTACCATCACCACCATCATCGCCATTATTACTGTCATCACTCCAACTGGCCTGGCTGTGAGGGAGCTGCTCACCTGACAGAGTCCATGTTACTGGTGGCGGAGAGGTACTCCAAGTCCAGGTCCTTGTTGGGGAGGCCCAGAATGGGGTTGGCCCTAGAGAGAAAGTTTAGTCAAGTGGCTGTAGTGCTCGGACACCTCAGGAGGGTCCCTGCTAACGCTGTGACCCCCACTCACCGCTCAGTGTTGTACATGTTAGTCCCAGGGATGGTGGCAGCCGTGGGCATCACCCCCACTGCTGTCTTCCGGGCCTCCTTGCCAGCCTTCATAGCCCGAAGCTTCCGGTTGTAACTGCAGGGAGCCAAGAGGAGTCATACTCATGCTGCACAAACTCTGGGTGCCCAATGGAGGCCTGTGAGCGTGACTTCAGAGGGATCCTGGCAGGGGAGAGCCTTAGCTCCATTTTACAGAGAGCAAAAGGACAGCCAGCAAAGGAACGTGCTTTGTGAGGGCCACACAATTAGCTAGTGGAAAGACCTAGCATCAAACCCAGAGGAGGCTGCTGACTGTGCGTGCTGGGAAGGGGAGAGGAGCAGCATTTATTAGCATCTTACAACCCCAAGTCCATGGAGGAACCTAGTGTCATGTCCATTCTGCAGATGAGTAGACTGAGCCTCAGGGAACAGGAAATGGGGGAGACTTACTGAGGTCTCACAACCGGGGACTGAGCACATATCTACCCAATGTCTGGACCCAAGCTCTTTCTACTCATTTCCCACCCCATGTCTTGGGTGGCAAGGGAGAGGGGAGGGGTGGGAAATGGGGGATGGGAGCAGCACCTCTTCTGCACACACACAAGAGACATGGCCATGATCACGAGGGCCAGCACCAAAGTCACTACCAGTCCTATGATGACGCTGGTGAGCACTTTTGACTGGTCAGAATCCTGGCTCTGCTGGGAGCCCTGGAGAGGAAGGAGTGTGAAGAGGTCATGCATGGGCTGACACCCCCGACCTCTCTCTACTGCCCCACCACTTACCAGCACCACCAGCCTCTGCTGCAGCAGCTGCGACCCCCGCTCCCACCATTGTCCCACCACTCACCAGCAGCACCAACCCCAGCTGCAGCAGCTTCGACAGTGAGTCCTGGTCTTTCCGGATCATCCTGCCACAGAAAATCCACTCAGACCTGTGCTCACTGATAGCTCTTGGCTTCCTGCCCACCCCCAGGACAGCCCACTCACACACTCAGTTCATTAAGTGTTAGTGCTGACCCATTGGAGAACACAAAGTAAGCATCGAGGTAGGATTGGACCCGGGCCCTAGAACGGGGAGAGAGGGGAGTCAGCAGCCCAGGCCGCCCCTGTTTTCCTAAGTCTAATCACTGGGCCCAAGGACACTCACGGAGCTGCGAAGTCTATGCTCTGAATCTTCACAACGTACACAGAGGTCCTAGTCGCCTGAGCAAGAGCCCTACAAGGAGGCAGGTATCACAGTTACCTAGAGTAGGTAGCCCTGTGACCAGGGCTCCACCAGTGAAAATAGGAACTGTACAAATGGAAAAGGGACATAGTCGCTCTGTTGGCTAAGCAGGTGACACCTTTGTGCCCTTCCTCGGGCTGAGTTTGCGGCTCTTGTGCAATACACAGTGATCACAACTGTATGTGGCAGTTCTGTTTAGGCCTCTTTCTTGCCTTTGGCCAAGCATGGGCTTCTGGGAGCATGCAGACAGGTAGTGCAGACCCAGGTATAAGTCGAAGACAGGGACAGGTCAAGTACGGGTCAGGGACAGGCCTTCTAGGTCCTGTTCATCTCACAGCCCCCCTTGTGGGCAACCCATACCTACTCTTTAATCTCTTCCACATTGGTGCCCACCTCCTCCTTGTTGGGGGAGAACTGCAGCCTTACGCGGTAACTCTGGTCCACGGTGAAGAGCTAGGGGAAGAGGGTGTGGAAGACATGAGGCTCCAGGGACAAGGCGGTGACAGAGGGCACTGAGCCTGGAGTCAGGGACTGGCACTCACATTCAGGGTGATTCTGGCTTCCTGTGGGGGACCCTTAGAGGGCTTGTCCTTGGCTAGGACTACCAGTTGGTAAGTGCCCTGGAGAGTGGAGTCCAGGCTGGTCACCAGCCTGTGGGACGTGGAGAACATGGGTCAATCTTGGAACCCAGGTGGGGTCCCCTGGAAGCCATTTGTGCACCTCCCAAGGTGGGGCGCTCACCCCAGGAAGCTGCCTTCAGTTGCCCACCCCCACCCCCCCACACACACCCCTGCCCATCCAAGGGCCACCAGCAGTTACTCGATGCTGCCAGTAAACACGTTGGCCTCCGAGGAGGTGGAGACCCGGAAGGAACCCTGGAAAGTGGCGATGGCCCCATCTTTATAGACAAAATTCTCTTGCTGGATGGAGAATGTGATGACTCCATTGTTTCCTGAGTCTTCATCTTTAGCCTGGGAGCAAAAGGACCACATCTTGGGGTGAGGCTAGGCCCCATCCATCCCAACCACGGATCAGAGACGATGGCAACCCAGGAGGCTGGCCCACACAGCCCCCATCAACTTTCCCAGGTTGCCCCATGTAAAGAAGCATGTGTCTTTCATTGCCAAAGTCCCTCACAAGTGCAGGAATGCTCAGATTTCCTACAGGCCTCCTGTGGGCTTCCTTCATTTCAGTGCTTATAGTGTGCATCTGAATTCCTCTAGTGAACTGTGAAGTAAAATAAGGAGGTGTGGGAGCAATTTTTATTGATTCTAGTGCCTTTAAAAAAAAAAATCACCAACACACAGAGCCTGGAGTCCACTGACTTTACCACTTAGAATGAACAGATAGGGTTCAAATTTAAATAAAGCTCGAGCTCGCCTTTCAAAAAGGTGTCAATTTAAAGAAAGCTGTTTAGGGCTGGTTGCAGAGGCTCATGCCTGTAATCCCACCACTCAGGAGGCTAAAGCAGGAGGATCACAATTTGAGGCAAGCCTGGGTTATATAGCAATACCGTGTCAAAAAAAAAAAAAAAAAAAAAGCAAACCTAATGGCTGGCCATGGTGATACATGCCTGTAATCCTAGCTACCCTAGCTACTCAGCTCAAGGTCAACCTGGGCAAACAATCAGTGAACATCCATCTCAGCAAACAAGCTGGGTGTGGTGGTTCAAGTCTGTAATTCCATTTATCTGGGAAGCATAGGTAGGAGGACCAAGGCCTGAGGCCAGTCCCCAGCAAAAAGCACAAGACTCTAACCCAAAAAGTAACTATAGCATAAAAATGTCTGGGGCCTCAAGTGGTAGAGGAACTGCCTAGGAAGTGCGAGGCCCTGAATGCAAACCCCAGTACTGAAAAAAAAAAAACCTAAAATAATGATAGTAATAAAGTGTTCAAAGCCACGATTATCATTTTGACATTGAAATGAAACTGGCTGAAGATTGGGAAATTGACCGTCTTAAGGCTTGAAAGACCCTAGCGAGGGAGAATTTCTCTCCCTGCTTTATGAGAGGCAAATGAGACTCCAACACAGACCCTGTCCTAAGGGCACACCCAGCTCTAAGTGGGGAAGGCCAGGTGTCCATCTCCTAGACCCTTCCACAGCACAGGAGTGCCCCCCCCATGCCACCTGCTTCTTGTCCAGGAGGGAAACTGAGTCTCTCAAGGTTAGTGAGAGGCCCAGCCAGGCCCCAGCCCAGGCCACGAGGGAAGGCCTCACCCCATGTGGCCCCACCTCCATCCTTTAATAAACACACCCAGACCAACTGTAACAAACTGAAAGTACTTTTGCAATTCTGCACTAGAAATGATTTAGCTACAAAGAATTCATTTAATGTATAACTGCCTAGGATTTCCCTGTCGTATTCAAGAGTTCTGGTGTAGTCAGAAGGATCTAGCCTGCAAAGTGATATTTACGGTCATGAAATTTTTATGAATACTAAATTGAACGATTAGTGGGATTTAATCAGATCAATTAAGCAGGTGTTTGCTTTGCATTTTTGTATGTTGAATAACTTACGTTTCCTTTCAGGTGTTCAGACATTTGGGGACAGCAGAAAGGTCTGAAGACCTAGTCCTGTGTCCTCTGGGGTTAATGTGACCATAAAGGCTGCAATAGGACTCACCTGAACAGTAGCCACTTGCTGATCGGGTATCACAAGTTCTGGTATGATCACTACAAGTGTGAGTAGAAAGGGGTGAGTGTGGTGGGTCCAGTGCCCATCTGGCCCAGTCCTGCCCACTAGCCTGGCTCAGAGTCCACACCCCAAGCCTGCCCTGACACCTCTACCCATTACATTGACCACTGAGCCAGTACTTAGCAATTCATACCCTCCCATTGTACAGACGGCAAAACTGAGGCCCAAAAAGAAGGGATGGCTTAGGACTAGGCATCTGGTGAGACACAATTAGAATGAAAATTTGCGCGTCCCTCCAGTTGCACCCAGGGAAGGTAGGATGAGAGCCTTCACCCCTTTCTAAGGCCCCTCTGGAGCCTACAGAGGGTTTATAGGCGTTGCCCAAGGGTGGTCCTGTGGCACAGGGTACATGTGTGTATGTGGAGTAAAGACAGGTTGCTGCACTCTTACCAAAAGTCTTATTATTATGCAGGAAATAGGGTGCGTTGTCATTCACATCCACGATCATGATGAGAAGGCTCCCTGGGGAGAGGAAGCTATAGGGTCAAGGCTCTGGACGAAAGCCTGACGCAAACAGCCTGGGCCTCACCATGCTTCCAACGGCCTCCTGCCCAGGCATGGCACATTCAGTCCCCTTCCCTGCTCCTGACCCGACGTCCTCACAATCGTTTCTAGCCTCCATGGGAGCGTCATTACTAGGCCCCGGCAGTGGGGGGTAAACAGCTTGTCATGGTCACACAAGAGTGTGAGCCAGGGTTAGGCCTAGGTATATCCCACCTGATCACACTTGTAAGCCCAGCACTCAGGAAGCTGAGGCAGGAGAATCTGGAGATCCAGGCCAGCCTGGGCTACAGAGCAAGACGCTGTCTCAGAAGGAGAAAAAGGAAAAGGAGATAAAGAAGGCTAAGGAGAAGAATAAAAATAAGGAGAAGAAGGAGAGGGAGGGAGAGGAAGAAGAAGAGGGAGAAAGAGGGAGAGGAAGAGGAAGAAGGAGAAGCCAGGCACCGGTGGCTCACGCCTGTAACCCTAACTACTCAGGAGGCAGAGATCAGGAGGACTGAGGTTTGAAGCCAGCCTGGACAAATAGTTAGCAAGACCCTATCTCAAAAAACACCTTCACAAATAAAGGGCTGGTGGAGTGGCTGAAGGTGTAGGCCCTGAGTTCAAGTCCCACTACTACAAAAAAAAAGGAGGAAAAAAAAAAGGAAGCCCATAAAGTAAGGTGCAAAAACTGCCACTCTGTGCCTCAGTTTCCCCATCTTTACAGTTGGATAGACATGACCTACCTCACAGGTTACATAGAAATAGACATGCTTACAAGGTGCCTGGCATTGTTGTTGCTGTGTGAAGTCTTGACATACGACTATTTTTGCTATTGGGTGTTGGAGGTGGGTCCTTTCCTGTCCCCCGTCTCACAAAATAGCAGCTTTAATTCAAGCCAGGCACCTATGCCAGCTACTTCCCTAAAAGGCACGTTCCCATTTAACCTTCATAGCCAACCTCTTCCCGTCTCTACTGGACAGGTGGGAAAACAGTGACAGGAAGTGAAGTCAGACCTTGTGGGTGCCTGTCCCATGGCCCCTACACTGTAGCCCACAGGCTCCCTCACCATTGTTGCTGTAGGCCTCGAAGCGAGGATCGGTGTTGACATCCCAGGCCCTCAGGACCAGTGTGACCAGGTCACAGGCCTCATAGTCGATAGCCTCACTCTGATTGATGTACACAGAGCCGTTGGCCTCCACAGAGAACCAGCCATGGCACAGGTGACCCACGTCAACTCCAGCCTTGGTGCAGATGATGTTCACAAGCTGAATCTCCAGCTGGGCCTCGGTATCTACATCCTGGGCGACCACCTCAGCCACCTGGCCATGCTGTGAACCATTCTCAGCCACAGAGATGCCCTGGAGCGAGGCTGCCACCAGGACAGGGGGCTCATCATTCACATCCACCACAGTCACGTTGACTTTGGCTGTGGCCTCGAGTCCCTGGGGGCCTGGGTTCTCAGCACGCACATTCAGTCCGAAGAAGTTCTGCGTCTCATAGTCCAGGCTTACTTCCGGGGCCAGCCAGAGGTGGCCCTCTGCCCTTCCAGACCCCAGCACCACGCTTTGGAGCAGGAAGTTGTTGACACCGTTCCCAGACAGGCTGAAGCTGATACGGTTGTTGGCCTCTGTCTGGTCTGCATCCCAGGCCTCCACTCTGCCCACCAATACTCCTGTGGATAAGGGACAGAGCATGGAGGGACCCCTGGGGCTTTGGACCACCCCCTGTGACCCCTGGAAGCCTCCTCTGCCCTCGGCTCTTGGGCACTGCAGACCAGTTCTGAGTGTAGCTGTCAATATGGTTCTCATTGCTAACTGGTATCAGAAATGGAGTATAAGTACACATCTGGCTTCCTTTACACAGCCTAACAGAATAACAGCATCAATTAGGTGCTTACTATATACCAGGCACTGCACTGACCACTTTCTACACATATTTGAATTTAACAGTCTAGCCAATTTACTGTCCAACTGTGGAGCCCCAGTGCCCCCCGCACCGACCCAGGGAGGACTTACCTGGCTCTCTCTCCTTCACAAAGAATTGGTAGCTGGACTGGTTGAAGATGGGGAGGTTGTCATTGATGTCCTGCAGGTAGAGGAAGATCTGAGTCCTAGCTCCAGGTATTCACTGTCTACACAGTGAATCTGAAAAGCCCATTAATTCCTCTGCCACAGACACAGCCATGGACCCTGTGTCTCCTTGGACAGCACTGCTCACTTTCCAGATGTGGAGGAAACTTTGAGGGAAAGGGACATGCCAGGTCACTATCCGGACTTACGGCATATGGAGAGACCTTTCCAGTTATACTTAGTCAGGAAATATCACCTCCTTCGTATTTCTCTGACCACAGCTCAGAACTGTTTTAGACTGCTTCCTGGCTCCAGGTCTGTCTGTGTCTCTGTCTGGCTTAGTTTGACTGCTCATCTTTTGGATAAATTCTGTGGTCACCAGTACCATGACTCTTTCGTCTTCCTGTGGCTCCCACACTCATCTGACCCCATGACACCAGCTCAGTGCTTAGGCTGAGCTGGGTTCTGATGCCTGTGAGAGTTTTGACTGGTCCTATTCCAGACACCAGTTGTTCACTCCCTCCAGCCCTGGCCCGCCTACAGCTTGGAGCCCTTACCTTGTCACAGCACTGCCTTCCACCTTCTCCCCAACACTGTGTGTGCTTGGGAAGGGGTCCCCTGAATGTTCCTGCCCTTCCCTGGGTCTGCTCACAGATGGGTGAGATAAGAGGTGTTTGCTTTGGTATTCAGTGTTTTCTACATAACTGTGGAATGGACATCTCAATAAAAAAGCTTTTTTTTTGGTGGTACTGGGGTTTGAACTCAGGGCCTCATGCTTGCTAGGCAAGGCACTCTTACTGCTTGAAACATTCTGCCAGCCTTTTTTTGTGATGGGTTTTTTTGAGATAAGTCTCTCCAACTATTTGCCCAGGGCTGGCTTTGAACTGTGATATTCCTTATCTCTGTCCCCTAAATAGCTAGGATTACAGGTGTGAGCCACCAGTGCCTGGCTCTTCCTTCCTTCCCTCCCTCCCTCTTCCTTCCCTCCCTCCCTCCCTCCCTTCTTCCCTCCTTTCCTCTCTCCCTTGCTTCCTCCCTTCCTTCCTTCTTATTTTGGGATGGGATTTCACTATGGTGCCCAGGCCTTTCACAATCTCCTTGGCTCAAGCAACCCTTTTGCCTCAGCCTCTCACATAGCTGGGACTGAAGGCATGTGCCACCACACCCAGCTGAGATGTATTTTCTGATGGTGATTCCCAGAAGGCATCACTGACTCTGTGCATGTGACCGGCTGTATCTCAGGGTTGTCCTAATTCACAGGAGTGGCTAAGAGAGCAGCTCTGAGTCATACCTCTCTCTCCTGCTGCCTCTTGTGTGCCTTTGACCTCTCAGCCTCAGCATCCTCATATGAAAGATGGGGTAGCAGTCCCATCACAGTAAAGGTGTGAGACTCATGGGCTCTTCCTTTTCTCATCTTTGCCATCCACCTGATCGATCCCCAGAAACGCCAAGCCCTAAATCTGCTTCTGTTTCCCCATTTCAGGGTTGGCAGAGTGGCTCAAGTGGTAGAGCACCTGCTTAGCAAGCTTGAGGCCAGAGTTCAAACCCCAGTACCACCAAAAAAAAAAAAAAAAGAAAGAAAGAATTGCCCATTTCCTTCAAGGCCACACTTCCTAACCTTTATAGGAGTGTGGCACAGCCCAACCTATTGGCAAGAGGACTTCCGTGTGCAGTGGTACATTGTACAACCCGGGCCAGGGGGCATCCCCATGTGACCAGTGTAGAGGTGCACAGTCGTTACAACCCTTTGCCAGAAGAAGGTGCCTCGTGAGCCGGTGGCAGCCTTCAGAGAAGACCAGCTAGGTTCAAGTTGCCATACTGCAACCCTAGACAAGGTACTGAACTGCTCTGTGCCTGACTTTCTTTTCTCCTTCTCCTTCTCCTTCTCCATCTTTTTAGGCAGGGTTTCACTATGGAGCCCGGGCTGGCACCAAATGCACAGTCCATCCTACCTCAGCCGCCTTAGTGCTGGGATTACAGGCCTGAGCCATCATCCCCAGCCCCTAAATTTCTTACTAAAATGGTAATAACCATTTAGTAATACCTGGCAGGGCCTGGTAATGTGGCTAACATTGATAGTGGTGACTGCCTGTGCTGACTTTGTCCCTTGCTTTGCCTTTGACTGGTGGCGGGGAGGTGGTAGGGCCTCAGATAGGGCCTTGTGAATAAGGATCAGAGCTAACATTCACTGTGCACCTTCCACGGGTTCCTCTTGGGAACATTCTCTGTTAATTAACTCACCAAGTCCTCATACTGTCCCCATGTTACAGGTGAAAGATTTAAGGACCAGGGAAGGTGAGCGATGGCTGAGGCCTGCACGCTAGGGAGCCAGGACTCTAACACAGTCAGCTAGGTTGCCCAACCTTCACGCCCACCATGTTGTGAATGGCACAAAAGGGGGTGTGTGCCAGGACAGGGGAGCTGCACCCCTGTGGGGTGCCCACAGCTGGCCCAGTATCCTGCAGAGCCTAGCCTTACCTCCACGGTGATAGTGACATTGACCTCTGTGCTGAGGGGTGGCACACCACAGTCAGTCACATGCACAGTCAGCACAATAAGACCCTTCAGGGCAGGGTCAATGGCCTCTCTGTCCAGCGGCCCCAGGCTTGTGAGGAGCCCTGTGTTGGGATCCAGCGAGAAGTTGTAGCTGTAGGGCCCAGGCAGCAGGCTGTAGAGCAGGCGGCTGTTGTTGGTGTCTGGCTCGTCATTGTCATAAGCCTGACAGATAAGCAGGCTGGGCATTAGGCCTCAGTGCCCCTCACACCCAGACCTCCTCTGAAGCCTGACCTGCCCTCCAGCACTGTCCATGGACAGCAGTTGGGCCTGGGGCCACCTCGATGCTGGCCAGTCTCCTGGCCCCAGTGTCCCCATCTGAGCAGCTCAGATCCACAGCTCATGAGAGCGTTGAAGTCCAAGCTGTGTGCTGGGCGTTTAATAGCCATTATCTCTTTATTCCCCTTCATTCTCTGAAGAGGTAATGGATGCTCAGAGAGACTGAGTGACCTTCTCAGGGCCACACAGCAGAGCCCAGACTTCACCCAGGGCCAGCAAGACCACAGAGCCAGGCTTGGTCCCCTCCCCTCCCCATCCACTCCAGGGCGGCTCACACCTGGATGGTCACAGAGACATCTTCTTCCTCCTGGACGAAGATGTTGTAGGAGCCGATGACCACAGGTGGATTGTCGTTGACGTCCAGCAGGTTGATCTGCAGTGTGGCAGTGGAGGACTGGCCCCCGCCATCAGTGGCCTGCAGCGTGAGGTAGTACACAGCCTGCCTCTCCCGATCTAGTAGCATGCCATTTTTCACTGTCACTGTCCCCGAGTCACGATCCACCTCAAAGAGGTCTGCCCTGCTCAGGATGACCAGATTTATCAAATAAAATGAGAGCTGTCACTTGCATTTAAATTTCGGATAAACAATGACACGTGTTTTAGTACATCCAGCACACTATTGCTATGGTTGGTGACTTCCCCAAGCTTCATGTGTTGGTCCACAGTATGGTGACGTTAAGAGGAAGGGAGGCCTTTAAGAGATGGAGCCTAGTGGAAAGTCATTTTGGCCCCTCCCTTCAGTCCTGTTTCCTGTCTTGTCATGTGATCTCATCCTCTCTCCCAGGTTCCCATCATTCTGATGGTCCTCATGCCATGTCCCTTAGAACTCCAGAACTGTAAGCTAAAGAAACCTCCTCTCTTTATAAAGCTCCCAGCCTTGGGTATTTCATTATAGTAGCAGAAAACAGACTAATCACTTATTTTTTAACTATTCATTGCTTTCCTAGAATTGAAATGCTCACTCACCTGCCCACTGTCCACCCTAAGACCTTACCCATTTCCTGGGAGCAGGGTATAGGTGATGCGGCCCCCCTCGCCCGTGTCTGGGTCTGTAGCCTGGGAGGCAGAGAGAGGATGGGACACTGTGGATACAGGGTACTCGCAGCATAGCACACAATCCATGGGGACAGGCTTGCTGTGCTTCCTGACACAAAGGAAGGACCCCACACTCACACTCACAGACACCCCACACACAGCTCACATGTGCACACTGCTCACATTGCTGGGACCCAATGACACTGGGAGACTCCAGCAGGGCTGCGACCCCAGATCTGCCCTTCTCTGTGTCTCCCTCACAGCCTGGCCCAGTCACATCACGTCACTCACAATGATACTGTTGGTGACCACGGAGCCTGTCGCACTGTTCTCCAGCACATCAACGACATACAATTCCTGGGAGAATGTGGGTCTGTGGTCATTAATATCTCTTAGATAGATGGTCACCATGGCGACGGAAAAGTTCTGGCTGACCGAGTCAGTGGCCACAACCTGAAGACAGAAAAACAGGCAGCAATGTCGGGGCCCGATTGCCCCCAGGGCCTCCAATCCCCGACACCCCAGAGCACCCTCACCTCCACCAGCATCACTGTCTGTCTCTCGTAGTCTACCAGCTCTGGGTCTTTCACCAGCACCTGCACGTCCGCTGAGCTTGCTGCCCGCGCTGGGGAGACACTGAAGGCTTGTGCATCAAGACCCTTCAGGCTCAATTCAAAGGTGCCATTGTTACCCTGTAAAAGTGGACTTTACGGTAGGCACCCCATGCCCTGCAACTTGTCCCCCTCATCATCCCCCCCCAGTCTCCAGCCTCAGGTTCCAGAAGACATCAGGACCCAGGAGGCTGGGCTGGCCACTCATCTCTGCAAGTATGAACTCATCAGATGAGGACTTCCCTAGGCAGTCAATGCCAGCCACCAGCTCAGTATACCCACCAGCCAAGGGACCGCTATGAACACAGCACCACCCAACTCAACATCATCTGGCATTTCCAAATGTCACCCACAACTCCTGTTTCCCACAATTCACTGATCTGTGGCACCATGATCTGCCATCCACCGTCAAACCACTGCCATCCCTCCCCTCCCATCCTCATTCATCATCCCGCCATGAGCTCTGTCATTCACTGTCCGCCTCTTTCCCTGCCATCACCCACCATCATCCCTGTCCATGCCCATCCCCCTTCCCGAAGCACCTGCCTTGTCCGGGTCGTAGGCCACCATGGTGAGGTCATCGATGGGGATGCGGGTAGAGGAGTGTTCATCCACGTAGCCTGTGAAGCTGACTTGGGCCTCATCGGGGGTGAAGAGGCAGTCTGCGAGGCTGCAGTTGTAAAACTCTGGCTTGTGGTCATTGATATCTGTCACTCTTATTGTGACCCACATGCTCACCTTGGCCTCTTGCCCATAGATGTCGAGGTGCATCTCCGTGGCCTGAGGCACAGAGCAGAGACCAGAGGGCAGAGGTCAGAGAGCCAGTGCTCACAGATCAAAGGTCAGAGGTTAGGGTCTGGGGGAGCCTCACGCACCGTGACCTGCAGCTGCACCTCCTCATCCTCCTCCAGTAGCTCCTCTCGGTCCAGGGAACCACTGACTGTGATGACCCCATCTTCCCCAATGTCGAACCATCCAAGCCTTGTGGAATCTGAAAAGGAGGCAGGTGGAGGGCGTTTTCCAGTGACTCAGACAGAGCCCCACTCCATCCTTGCCGGAACCGCAGCCCGGGGAAACCCAGTTCTCACTGGTGATTTTGTAGACCACATTATCATTGATGCCTTTGTCACTGTCCACAGCCTCCACTTTCAGCACTGAGGTTCCCTGGAAGGAAGCCTGGTCAGTGCCCCTGACACTTCCTCCTGCCCCTCAATGCCCCCCCCACGTCCTCCAGGTCATGCAGCACACACAATGGTTGCATCTTCAGGCACCGAAGCCGAGTAAAACTCCCTGACAAACTGGGGGTTCAGGTCAGGCTGGTCGATCACCGAGATGGGCAGGAAGACAGGCTGGGAGCACTGGATGACATTTTCATCGTGTAACATGCCACCTAAGTCCTGTTGGGAGATGGGCCTTCCGTGAGCCAGGGCCTCGGGTCCTGGTGCCCCAGCCCCTGCCTACACCCCAACTCACGCAGGCTTTGAGCTCCAGCTGGTAGAAGGCACTCTTGTTATTATAGCTGAGGCTGCCGTTGAGTATGATGGAGCCGTCCTCCAGGATCCGGAAGAGATACCTGCTGTCCTGGGTACTCGGGATGACCTGATAGAAGACATTTACATGGGACTCGTTTGGGACAGTGCTGTCCCTGAGAGCACTGGGTGGAATCCTGGCTCTGCCAGACAACCTTCCTCAAGTCACATGACCTCTCCAAGATTTCTTGTGGGGCTGGTGACCTGGCCTCAGTGATTGACAGGAGGACCTGTGAGGTCCCAGATGGGCTAGGCGTGTAGTGTGTGCTGAAGAAAAATGGAGTGACCAGTGCAAATCTGCCTCCATGAAAAGTGGGCTCATGTGCCACACACTGTCTGTGACAAGGCCCAGGACCTTTCCGAGCCTGGATCTCTGCTGTGAAGGCAGGAGTGTGGGATATATTAGCTTTCATCCGGGTATTAGACAGTGCCGGGAGCAGGAGGTGGGAGGAAGGATTGGGTTGGAAGTAGGCAACCAGAGGCTCCGTGGGTAGAGGGCTTGGGACCAGGACGGGCCACAGCAGAGCCAAGACTAGCCTGGACCCTGTGGCTGAGTGTGGAGATGCTGCCCCCTGGCGGTGACGAGGTGCAATCGGCGTACCCGCTTCCCGATGTCCCACTCACGTTCACTATGAAGTACTCCACCACGCCTGCTGACCCCGAGTCGCTGTCCTTTGCCAACACGGAGAATACCACGGAGCCGACTTGCAGAGTCTGAAAAAACGGACCTGTCACCCCAGGGTTCTGCCGGTGCTGCTCCCCTGCTCAGACACCCTGGCAACTCTCTGTAGCCCACAGCCCTGCTCCCTGCCCCAAAGCATCTGCAGAGCTGGAAGGCTCTACTACAGGAGGCCTTTGCTTCTGGACCCGATTGTTCCCTCAGCACTTCCACAAAGCGGCTGGAGAGATCTTCCAAAATTGTGAATCAGACCCCATCACTCTTGGCTTAAAACCCTCCAATTGCACCCCCATTCTCTTCAGAATACAGCCTAAATGGCTTCTGTGGCCCTCCAAGGACAGGCTGCTGACCCACTATCTGACTGTACCTCCTCCTTACCCTCTACCCTCCAGCCTCTCTCATCAGCCTGTTTCCAACTTCAGGGCCTTTGCATCTGCTGCTTCCCCTGCATGGGGCATCTTTTCCCTGGAGCATCCCCTGGTGGGCTTCAGGTCTCTGTGCAGAGGTCACCTCCTCAGAGACCCATTTCCTGACTACTCAACAAAACAGCCTCCTTCGCAGGCACTTCCTTTCACCTTGTCCTGTTTTATGGTCTTCATAGAGAGCAGGCCACCTGAAATAATCCTGATTATTATGTTTTGTGAGTGACTGCCTATGTGCTCACTAGCAGTGAGCCCCTGAGTGTGGGAACCTGGGAAGTCTTGTTCACCAGGGACTTCAGCACCCAGGACAGTGTCTGGCACATCGGTCTCCAGCAGAGTCTGTTGGATGACTGTCAAATGACCTCACCAGCCTTGTGTCTGGCCTAGTGTCCCCTCCCATAGCAGTTCTTCGAAGTCACATGATCTTGAAGATCCCGGATAGATGTCCTGTTTGCTATGACCTTTGGGGAAACTCTTTCCCACTCATAGAATTCAAGTGGGCTTCCCCTTGGCCAGGGTGAGGTCCGTGAGGCACACGTGACCCAAAGTGAGCCAACGAAAGGCAGCCCAGGGGTGTAGGCTGCAATCAATGAGAAGGAGACAGTCTTTCCATCAAAGTGCACAGAGGATGGGGCTGTTAGCTGGGAGCTGCTGGGGGGGGACTTTTTTTTTTCAATACTGGGGTTTGAACTCAGGGTGTACACCTTGAGCCTCTCCACCAGCCTTTTTTTGTGATGGGTTTTCTCGAGATAGGGTGTTATGAAGTATCTGCCTGGGCTGGCTTTGAACTACAATCCTCCTGATCTCTGCCTCCTGAGTAGCTAGGATTACAGGCATGAACCACCAGTGCCCAGCTGAAGGGGACATTTTTGTCACTATACTAATTTTAGATGTGCTCCCCACTCCAGGATGGAGGTAGCAAAACAAGAGGAGCTGAGAGTTGGAGAGAGACCTGGGGTACCTGGATCCAGCTATGCCTGAAGTGGGAGGTACCCCTAACTGAGATGCGTGGGAAAGTCATTCCCCACCCCGCACCACTTTGTTTGTTTGTTTGCTATCATAACTGAAAGACTCCTAATCCAATTTGGTTGCTTGCACAATGGTGAGCTTTGTAGGTACTGTTCATGGGGCTGCATGTCTGTGGATTTGGTCCTTCCTTAGCTGCTTCTCTTCAGAGAGAATTCTGTTCCTAGAGGCATGGCTGTCTGCTCCTCATCCCTCCCACTCCAGAGTCCCTCCCCACCCTGCCCCAGAAGGCAGATGTTACCTCATTGATGCTGGTGGAGAAGCTGCTGTTCTGGAAAACAGGTGCATTGTCATTTCTGTCTTCCACAATCACAATCATTTCCTTCTGCCCCTGCAGGGGATAGAGCCCAGGGGAACAGGACAATGTGACTTAAAATGACACTTAAAACCACAGAAGCAGCTGGGTTCCAGTGGCTCATGACTGTAATCCTAGCTACTCAGGAGGCAGAGATCAGGAGGATTGCAGTTTGAAGCCAGCTCAGGCAAATATGGTCAAGAGATCCTATCTTGGGGGAAAAAAAAAAAATCACAAAAAAAGGACTGGTGGAGTGGCTCAAGGTGTAGGCCCTGAGTTCAAATCTCAGTACCACAAAAAAAAATCAGAATCCTGGAACTTCTCGAACAACCCATTGTTCTCTCTCTCTCTCTCTCATATATGTACATACACACACACATATTCATGTATATGTAAGCATGTTGTCTACACATATACATATATGTGTGTCCATTTCTGAACTATTTGAAGGTAAACTTGCAGACATCATTAGTCTTTCTTTCATCTGAAATGTGCCTGCTCTGTGCAGGACCACGTATTTTAGCTCTATTGCCATAGTACAAAGCTGTGACCAGCCTAAGTGCTCATCAGGGAGACCGGCTAAGGAGCCACAGTGTTTTCCCACGCTGGGTGACATGTGACAAGGCCTGGGGGAGATCCCTGGCTCTCTCCATGTGATGTTCTGTGCTGTCGAGGGCTCTGCCAGCAAGAAGCCCCTCACTAGCTGAAGCTTCTCCATGTAGGACTAAAAGCAATTTCTTAATAACTTTTTATGAAAAGACAGGCTTGGGCTTGGCTTGGGCTTGGGGGGCGCGGGGGGATTGCAGCTCAGTAGTAGAGTATGCTTAGCATCTGTGAGGCCCCAGGTTCAATCCCCAGCACCAAAAAAGAAAGAGAGAGGGAGAGAGACAGACAGACAGACAGAGCGGAGATCCATGCACAGCTCAGAGACAACTTGAAGCACAGGTGTTGAGTGGACCATGCAGCTCCAACGCCCCATGATGTCGGCTTCAGAAAATGCATCAGCAAATACAATCTTTTGGGCTGGGAGCATGGTTCAAATGGTAGCGCACTTGCCTGTAACAGGGAAGATCCTGTGTTTAATCCCAAATACCGTGAAAAAAACCCTCTTACTAGCATGGCTGCACAGACGTATGTGGACACTTGGTGTGGGGCACGGGAACAGTGGCCGTTTCAGTGGGAGTGGGTCAAGACGGGATCTCTCAGGGGCATTTAGTTTTCAAAACATTTACATAGAGAATGTATTCACAAGCATTCACATGATTTTTTTTTTTTTTGGCAGTACTGGGGTTTGAACTAAGGGGCTCGCACTTGTTAGGCAGGTGCTCTTCTGCTTGAGTCACTCCACCAGCCCTTTTGCTTTAATTATTTTTCAAATAGGGTCTCAAGTTGCATTTTTTGCTATGGCTGGCCTGGACCACAGTCTTCCTATTTATGACTCTGTGTAATAAGGATGGCAGGTGTGCACCACCATGTACAGCTTTTATTGGTTGAGATGGGGTCTTGCTAACTCTTTGCCCTGGCTGACCTTGAACTGGGATCCTCCCGATCTCCACCTCCCAAGTAGTTGGGATTACAGGCGTGAGCCTAAAAAATTCACATGGCCTAAGTGATTTTTTTTAGTGGATGATGCTGATTTGGAGGTGGTTTGTCCAAATCATATGTGATGGAGGCTTAGCTCTCACTGGGGCAGTGCTGGAGCAGTGGAAACTTTAAGAGGTGGGGCCTGGCCAGGAGCCTGTGGCTCATGCCTGTAAATCCTACCTACTTGGGAGGCTGAGATTAGGAGGATCATGGTTTGAGACTAGCCCAAGCAAATAGTTAGTGAGACCCTATCTCCAAAATAACCAGAGCAAAATGGACTGGATGTGTGGCTCAAGCGGTAGAGTGTCTGCTTTGCAAATGCAAAGTCTTGAGTCCAAAACCTAGTTCCACCAAAAAAAGAAAAAATAATAAAGGTGTGCCCTGGTGGGAGGTCACAGAGCCTGAGCTGTTAGAAAGGATTAATCCTGGTTGGTTCTCACAAGAACAAGCCTGGCTATTCCTTAGTCACCTTTCAGCTTCCTGTCTGGCCACAGGATCTCTCTTTCATGCATGAAACCCTGCCATGTAGTACCACCTACCACAGCCCAACTGATGCCAGATCTATACCCTTGAACCTCAGAATCGTGAGTACAACAAACCTCTTTACTTCATGAAGTTACCCACCTTCAGGTATTTTCTTATAGTCATGGGAAACAGTCTAATACAATGAGGTTTAGTTTAGAGGCAGAAACTCTCAACTTCCACAGACACAAGACGCAGCTGCGTAAGTACGCTACTTAGAAGATAAGAGTGCCCCAGTGCAGCCAAAAAAATAAAAATAAAATTGTGAAATTAGAAAGACTAGAGTGATGCCTACATATTCAGCCAAGGGACCTAAATGTGGTTACCCCAGAAACGTTAGAGTGGGGAAGTATTTACCGGTTGTTTTAAATCAATGTTTATACTGATATAACTAATTACTATGATTAATTTTATATTTGTAATCTAAATGATATATTTATCATTTATATTTATTTTATATTATACTTTAATATGTATTTATATTTACATAGTTAAATTAATAAATATTAAAATCATACCATATAACAAAATGGACAGGTGTAATTCTGATAAGAATAAATATTAAATTAATTATTAACTGAGGTGCTCCCTGCTTGCTTGAGGTGGGCAGCATGTCTAGGAGTGGACTCTGGGGACCTTGATGTCCCCCCCAGTCCCCCTCCCATCCCCCACCTTCCCACTCACTGAGTTCATTTGAGGGTCGCTCACGAGGATGGTGATGGTGAAGAAGTCGAGTGTCTGCAGAAAGGAAGGACCTGGGTGAGTCTGGCTCCACGTGGGAGCACAGCAGGCTGGGGCCCAGGACCAGCATCCCCTTCCCGTTCCCCTCGCTGGGCCCTTCCCACACTGTTGCCATCTACCTCGTAGTCCAGGGGGTAGGCCAGCTTGACTTGCCCAGTGTCCGGGGTGACAGAGAAGAAGTATCTATAGGAGCCACTAATCCCGTAGGTGAGAGGGTCGTCATCCAGGTCTTCAGCCACCAACCAGAAGGCCTCCTTATCTGGAAACAAACAGGGCTGCCAGGGGCCATGGCCACCTCTTTCTGCTAGTATGACTGAGCTGTCCTTGAGACGGGCCAGGGGCTTGACTTGTCTGTACACAGGCTCCACCTGAGACCTGAGGTCCGCTCAGTCCCCCAGGATCAGGTCCCTGTGGTTGTGGACGTGGCCATCGGGGGGCAGGGGGTCGTTACTCAGGATGAAGTGTACGAGAGTGCATGGGATGGGCTGTCACGGGGCGTCTTCCCTCCCTCGGCCAAGCCCATGGACCGGTCTTTCCTAAAGCTGGGACACGGCTTTGTGGAGAGACTGGAGGTGGCTAGAGTCCCTGCACCATGGCAGCTGGAGACATGGGGGAAGGGAGGATGCTGCTAAGGACCCTCGGAGGTGCCTGGACCTGGCCTCTCCTCCACCTGCCTGCGTCCCACGGGCTGGCCGGAGCCTCCCAGCACACTCGGCTGCTGCTGCAGTTAGTCAGAGTGGCATCTGCTCCTGGCCTCCTAGAGCCCAACTCTTCCACTGCACCCCCGGGTAGCACAGGGGCTGCATGATGGAGGAGGAACAGGCGTCAACTCAACTCACAGGAGGCATGGAGCCTTGGATCTCCAATACTCTCAGGGGCCCACAAAAGTATTTGATGTTTTTTCAAAATCAAACATATATTGCCTAGCACAGGTGGCTCACCCCTGTAATCCCAGCTACTTAGGAGGCAGAGATCAGGAGGATCACAGTTCAAAACCAGCCTGGGCAAATAGTTCAAGAGACCCTATCTTGAAAACACCCATCACAAAAAAGAGGGCTTGGTGGAGTGGCTCAAGGTGTAGGCCCCTCAATTCAAACCCCAGTACGGCCAAATAAATAAATAACCAGAGCAAAATGGACTGAAGGTGTGGCTCAAGTGGTAGAGCACCTGCTTTGCAAGCTAAAAGCCTGGAGTTCAAATCCCAGTCTCACAAAAGGAGGGGTGGGGAACTGCCCAGAAGGATGGGGCTCTTCAGAGCATTTGTTATTTTTGTTACATGTATTTGTGATCAAAAAGCTAATGAGATATATGTACACACATTAGCATGTGTACACTACTCTGGTTCTGCAGAGAACATTCAGAGACAGCCAGTCATTTTGCCTGAGCCCAGCCAGTGGAAGCCATCCAAGAAAGACTGTGCCGTCCCAGAATGTGATAAAACTATCACCTCCCTCCTCCTGGTCTCTAAACCTTTACTAATATAACCTTTAATACACTTTGCTGTCCAGGCATCCCATCCAAATGGATGAAATCTTCAAGGTGCAAAGCCCCTCCTCCATCCTTTCATTGTGAACTTGGATCCAGGTTCCTGAATCCTAGGGCAGACTCTGGCTTTCACTTCTTTGATGTAGTCTCTTACTCTCTCTGGTAGCTTTAGACATTTCTAGATCCCAATTTTGACACCATGACAAAGTCTAAATTGTCCCCCAATATCCATGGTGCTGTTGAGATGACAAACAAACAAGCCCTTTTGGCCTCTTCTCTTCCCACTGGCTGGAAGGAGGTTTTGCCTGAGTCATCCTGGACCACAGGGGCAGAGGCCACACCTCAGGGAAGGCTGAGATGAGGTGAACAAAGGGACCTGACACCAGACGCTCCACAGGAGGGGACAACCTTATGAAAGAGAGTCTCCAACAGCTGAGCTGCCTGGGGAGGTTAATGCACGGCTTATCATTAGCTGTGATTATCTTTTGTGTGTTTGTGTGACGGTTTTTTGAGATAGGGTCTCACAAACTATTTCCCCGGGCTGGCTTCGAACCGAGATCCTTCTGATCTCTGCTTTCTGAGTAGCTGGGATTACAGGCATGAGCCACCAGTGCCTGGCTGATTGCACATCTTAGTCGTTTCCAGTCCCAGTGAATACAGTCACCCAGCGTTGCTCTCTCCCTGCCCGTATCCTGCCTTCTGGAATTTGCTGTCCAGTTCCTTTGCTTTCATGCACACCAATGCTTCCTGAACTTTCTTCTATCTTGTGCCACAGCTGTGACCTTCTCTATATCCACCTGTCATTAGCTATTATTATCCTTTTTTTTCTTCCCAAAAGGGGGCCTCCCTGTGTTGCCCAGGCTAGCCTCTAACTCCTGACCTCAAATCATCCTCCCGCCTCAGCCTCCTGAGTAGCTGGGACTACAGGCATAAGCCACCAGTGCCTGGCTTTTTGTTGTTGTTTTGTTTGTTTGTTTGTTTTTAAAAGGGAAGTGTCAGAAGACTAACAAACATAAGAGGGTGGGGACAATGGTCCAGAAGGACCCTGTCTCCTTGGAGCAATCAGAAGACTGAAAGAGTCAGGAACTGAACAAAGGCTGAGGTCCTGGAGGTGAACCTCCCTGCACAGGGACCCTGCTTCTGACTCAAAGAAGAAGAACCAAGCAATCTCCCTTCAGGCCCCTCTGTCTAGTACTCAGCCATGGTGCTGAAGCCTTGGGGAGCCCAGGGGAGCCCCTGCCCCTTCCTTGGGGTGAAGGCTTGGCTCTGTCCCAGTCAGGGCCCATTACTCACCCACTGGGAGGTCCTCCGGCAGGGTCACTGCCGACATGTTGGGTAGGAATGTCGGGGGCACATTGGCTACCACTGTAGAGACACAGAGAGGGGGACATCTGGACACTCCTGCAACACCTGACCCTCCAGCTTGCTCCCGAGAGGCCACACCACTCCTGTGGCTGACCTTCAGCCCAGTTCACCCACCCAGGTCTGGACACCTCCCCCACGCCTCCTATGCTAATAAGGGATTGTCCCCTCCCCTCTGGAGGGTCCTGCTGAAGATCACTGGTTCAATGCTGCTCTTATAGGGGAGGGGAGACACCCACCAGACACCATGAAAACAGGAAGCAGGAAGCAGGGCAGCCACAGCCAGGCCATCGCAGCGGGACCTAGGGGAAGAGGTATTAGGGAAAGGTTCCAGCCACCCTCCTTTTGGCACAGCCCCGTCTGCCTGACTTGGACTGGAGCCTGCCTACTATCTTTTCCTGGGCTCTCATCCCCGTCTGTCCACTTACCAATGCTCCAGGTTTGGGGGGTGGGTCTACAGGGGATCCAGGTGGGGTGAGCAGATGGCTGAACTACACTGGACCCCAGCAGTTAGCAACACTGCATGCTCCAGACATCTTAGGTGTGTGACCTCGTTACTTCCACAACTACAAGATGACAGCTAAGCAGCCAAGGCTGAGATGAAGGATCGATTGAGACATAAGAACCCGTGACCAGACCATGCTTGAGCCAGGCCAGTGGCTCACGCCTGTAATCCTAGCTACTCAGGAGGCAGAGATCAGGAGGATTGTGGTTCAAAGCCAGTTCAGGCGTATATGTTCATGTGACCCTATCTCAAAAATACTACACACACACACACACACACACACACACACACACACAGGGCTGGCAGAGTGGTTCAAGTGGTAGAGCACTTGCCTAGCAAGTGTGAGGTCCTGAGTTCAAAACCCAGGGCTAGGAGAAAAAAAATGTTTCTTGCAGGCTGCTACTCTGTAATCATTCTGTAAGATAGAAACTTTACTTGTGTAGTCTTTTGTGCTAAGGGAATAGCTTAATTTGCCCCAAACTAAGTTAAATTAAAGCTTTCCAGCCAACAAAGGAACATAGTCACTTGGTCCTGGCACCTCCCATCCGGGTCTCTTTTCCTCCTGCACAGCACTTCTGCACCAGACAGCCAGCACCCCACAGCGGGAGAGAGGAGAGAGAAGATAGCTTCCAGAGCCCAACTCTGGGCAGAGAACCTTGACCATGAAACATGGTGTCAGAACCCAAAAGTCTTCTGCCTCACACCACCTCAGAGATCCACCCAGTTGTCCAAGTCACGCTCGACACCCCTGTCCCAAATGCCCACATCTAATTCATCCCCCTCCCCTCCTTTTCAATCCAGTGCCACTTTCCCCTCTCCCCTGGCTCAATGTCACCAAGTCTCCCCTCCACCTCCTTAATCCACTCTGCACAGCCAGAATAACACTGTGGTCTCATGAGCTCCCTTCCCTGCTCAAAACCCTTCAATGGCTCCCCATTGCCAGAGTCCAAACTCCACAAAACGTCCTCCCAAAGACCTCCATGACCTGATGGCAAGGCTCTCCCCCACCAGCTTCCTCTCTCACCACTCCCGCTTCCCCTCACACTCCTTCTACACATGGTTCCTCTTTATGGACCACCCTTCCCACCTGGTTGCCTGACGAGCTCCTGTTGATTTCTAGAACCTTCTGTCCAGACACCCCTGCAGGAGGTCCTGCCTCCTTTTTCCATCTTTCTGAAATGAACGAATGGAGCCACGGAATCACTTAGCCCTAGTGGGCCAACACGCAACACCTGTGAGAAGTGTCCGAGGCCATGGCTAAGTGTGAGAACCAGAGAGCCTGGTGTGCTTGCAGGGTAACCTTGGGCAGGTGACTTAACTGCTGTGGCCTCTGGTTCCTCATCTGTAAAATGGGGACCATGCTAGCATCTACACCATGGGTTCACGTTGAGGCTTAAACAGTACCCAGCTCATAGGAAGTACATACTAAAAGTTAGCGATTATTACTGGAGGAAAGAAAGGTCCGCCTCTTGCACCCCTCGTTGTTGGTGTCTCCATTCCCTGGTGCCGCTCTTCCCTCCAACTCTGTGGTGGCCTGACACTCAATGTCCCCTAGACAGAGAGAGACCCTGGCATCTGCCTCCTGGATTGTCCTATCTGCTCTGAACCCCCAGCCTGAAACTCCTAATTCAGATTGATCTTGCCTCAGTTTCCCCCCAAGCTGATGGGAAATGCAGGGGTATCATGAGGGCTAGTAATTTTTTTTTTGCAGTGTTGGGGTTTGAACTCAGGACCCTCACCTTGAGCCACTCCACCAGCCTTATTTATTTATTTATTTATTTTGTGAAAAGTTTTTCAAGATAGGGTCTCTCGAATTATTTGTCCAGGCTGGCTTTGAACCACAATCCTCCTGATCTCTGCCTCCTGAGTAGCTAGGATGACAGGCGTGAGCCACTGATGCCTGGCTAAGGGCTAATAATTTTAAATATCTGCTGACATTCCCTGAGTGCCTACTATGTGCTAAATGCCCTGATTGATTTGTTCTCTTCATAAATATTTGTTGGGTGTCTGTGATTCACTAGGTGTTCCCAGCACCTGGGATACAGTAGAGAGCAAGACAGGGAAAGGGACTGCCCTCCCTGAGCTGACAGCTTAGGGAAGGGGACAGACCACAAACAAGCAAACAAACAAAGGACTGTGTGATCATTTGTTGCATTCAGTGCTATGAAGGAAGAAACCATGGGTTTGGCACAACTAGAGAGAAGAGAAACGAAGCCAGGCACGGGTGGCTCACACCTGGAATCCTAGCTACTTGGGAGGCTGAGATCAGGAGGATCACAGTTACAGGTCAACCTGAACAAAAAAGTCCAGGAGACCCTATCTCAATGGAAAAAAGCTGGGTGTGGTGCAGACACCTGTCATCCCAGTGCTGGTGGGAAGCACGAAGAGGAAGATCATGGTCCTGAGCAAAAAGCGAGACCCTGTCTCCAAAATAACCAGAGCAAAAAGGGCAGGAGGTGTGGCTCAAGTGGTAGAGTGCCTGCCTAGCAAGCTTGAAGAGAGTGGCTCTGAGTTCAAACCCCAGTACAGTACTAAAAAAAAAAAAAATGAAAAAGAGAGAACTTATTTTAGACAGGATGGCAGACAAAGGAAGTTACAAATTTTTTTGACATTCCTCCCTGTGACAGATGGGGGTCTATGTCTGCTCCCCTTGAATCTGGTATATTAATCATTTTTTTTTCCATTTTCTGTGTTTTATGATGACTTGACATCTTCAGGACCCCGCTGGTTAGGGAAAGACTCCAGCTAACTCCTAGAGATAGTAAACAACTTTCCTTCAATACACCTTTCATTTATAAACCACTCAAACTAGAGCCTGTATGCACACCACCTCCTTTATCTGACTCACACACCAAACCAACATTTCCCCACCCCAGGGCCAAGTCATGGACAACTAGGGGATCACTACTGTCACCCAGGGCCCCCTGAAATTGTCCGCACTATCCAATCTTGACTCTGCTATGCTGCTTAGCCTGCAGCTTCCCTCCCAGGAAAACATAAGTCTCTGGAGCCAAGCTTTCCCTCCTCCTGCCTTCTCGCCAACCTGGGACTCCCCCTTGTGGTGCTGTGTTGCATAGCATGTTCCCTTCTGGAACGGAGTGATCAAATTCTCTTTCAATGTTACCAGCTTCCCTGGGCCATCATTTAGTCACCTCTGTTAATTTAACATCTAGCAAGATTCTGTAAGTGATCAACAGAATATGGCGCCAGAGATGCTTTCTGGGCCCAGGCAACAAGATACTGGTAGTTTTTCCTTTCTGTGTCTTGGAACTCAGCAGCCATGTCACAAGGAAGCCCAAGCTGCCCCTTGAATGGGTTCCTGTGGAGAGCAAAGAAGAGCCCTGGCCAACTGCCCAACAGAGTTCCCATTTAATAGTCAATACCCACCTACCAGCCATGTGACCAACCGTCCTAAAATGAATCCTCTACCTCCAGATGAACCATCCATGCTGAGCCCCACCCAACTTATAGATTTCTAGAGATAGTTAATGATGGTGGTTAGGTTTTTTATCATTGTTTTGTTGAGACAGGGTCTTGCTACACAGCCCAGACTGGCCTGGAGCTCATATCCCCCTGCCTCAGCCTCCCCAGTGCTGAGATTATACAGTCACACTACCGCACCTAATCCTATTGTTGTCATTTGCCTATTGTTGCTTTGGGGCAGTGTGTCTTGTAGCAGTGGATAATGAGAACAGGTAGAGTGGGATCTCTGAGGAGATGAAGTTTCAGCAGAGTTCTGAAGGGTGGAAGAGGGGCCCACGTGAGGAGTGAAGAAGCCTCCCGCTATGCCTGGACAATTCAACATTGACCTCCATTTCCTGCCCTTGGAACCCCACTAAAATGTCAGTAAGGACTTGGGGAGCTGGAAAGGACTGATGGGAGATGATCAACCTACTAAGCTATTGAGAGTTGAGACCAGAGTAGGGATAGGAGTAGGGTGAAACCCCAAGAAGGATAAAGGATGACGGTTCTAGAACCTTCTGAAAGCAGAGGTGTGGGACTGAAAGCAGGAAAACTGGTTGAAAGTTTCTAAGAGAAGTAAGTAGACTTCCAGACCCCACTTCCCCACCCACCCCTCTGCCCCAGAGGACATGGAGCTACTTCTAGGACAGAATGAGTCACTGAGATCTGAACTCGGGGACACTAGGCTAGAAGAGAACGGTAGGTCATAGTACAACAGGACTAAGTGAAAGACTGCGCCACCGTCTCCACTCATTCCCAAGAGTATTGATGAGATGATATGACAACCTCCACCCACAGCCAGAAATAAATCACTGAGAAAAGTGGAGGCTAGAGGTACAGCTCAGTGGTGGAGTGCATACCTCCTATGTGCAAGGAAAGACCTGCGTTTGACCCCCAGCACAGCAAAAAACATTTAAATAATAAAATTAATAGTCCTACGTACCGGGAAGCAGAGACCAGGAGGATTGAGGTCAAAGCCAACCCTGTGCGAATAGTTTGAGAGACTCTATCTTGAAAAAATCCAACACAAAAAAGGGGCTGGTGAATGGCTCAAGTGGCAGAGCACCTACCTAGCAAGTGTGAGGCTCTGAGTTCAAATCCCAGTATCACCAAAAAATAAATAAATAAATACATAAAATAATTGAGAAAACTGACCTGCTAAAAGGAAAACATAAAAAGCAGATGTTGAAATTGTGGGTGTCTCCATTGAATCACTTTACTTCTGTCCTCTGGAGACAACTCTCACCCATAAGCCCAGGGCCACCCATCAGTTTTGACCTAAAAATCAGCCGGGTAGAACTATTTACACCAGAGAAATGGACAA